ACATGGCCCTGGGCATGAGGGCAAAGCTCTTCCCACACAGCTCAGGGAGGTGGCAGTGCCTCCCTTGCTGAGAAGATGAGCCCTAGGGATTCTTGCCTCCCTCCTGCCCCCCACCCCGGGTTTTTCTTTTCTTGCCCAAAGAGCCTCAGGCCTCTCTGCTCTCCCCGATCCTTCCCTAAGGGCTTCTCAGCTCCTCCTGGCACCCCACAGCTCCCCAGCGCCTCGTGGCACTGGCACAGACCCGCTCCAGCAGCCACGCCGGGCCCTGCGCAACACCTCACCTTGCTGACCCGGGGAGTGTCTCGCACCTCCTGATCTTGGTGCAAGAGCCAGAGGAGCTGCTCCCAGGCACGCTCGCGGTGCTGCTCCTCACGCAGAAGGACCCCCGTCCTGGCGGCCACCGCCCCAAGGACAGCCTGCTTGTCCTGAAGAGGGAAGGAGAGGCTCTGCTTGGAGGGCTGAAGGTCTGCCCAGTGCTCAGCATCCCCTGAACACTGGCCTGCCCTTCCCGCTGGCAGGGGTTTCCCTTTCCCTTCTGCCCCACGGGAGAAGGGCTCACTCCGGAGGAGAGAGAGCTTCTCCCCATACTGGTGGCCCAGCCCTCCCTGCAGAAAGGCCCCAGGACTCTGCTGCTTCCCATCAGGGAGCCCTCCTCCCCTCACCCCTCTGCTCACACCCCACTGGGCACAGACAGACCCCCCCACTGCGGCCCCCGGCGTGGAAAGCAGCACTTCCCACCTCTTCCTCCTTGCAGTCCATCAAGGATTTCCTTGCAGAGGAAAGCAGGGGAACAGGAGCCATGGGAAGGGACCCAGGAGTTTCTCCATGCAGCACCACCATGTCCTGCCCCCAGAAACCCCAGAAACTCCCTGAGCTTCCCTGGCTCCTCCGACACACACAGCAGTTTGGGATCACCAAGGCCTGACCGTGCTGCGGGCTGACACCCACCATGTTCCCTCTGAGATCACATGGAGGCATCCAAGGCCACCCCAGCCCCTCTTCTGAATAACTGAGGAACGTCTCGGCGCCACTCTGTATTTCCCCCAAAACTGGGGGCAGAGGCAGGCTGCTTTGGTGGCCTCGGAAGAGAACCAGCTCCCTTGGGCTGCTCCCTGGGACGCCGCTGCTCCCTTTTTACTTGGCAGCAAATGACAGCACCCCCGCCCCGCTCAGGCCCCGCTCCCCGAGAGAAGAGTCTGGGGCTGCTCCCTGGGAGCTCAGCTTGCTCCAAAGGCAGCAAACGGACTGCGGTAGCTGCCTGCCAGGAGTCCTGAGCAGCTCTCGGGCATGGACACGCCTCTGCCATCAGCAGAACATTTCGGGTAGGTGCCTTTGAGGACGCTGGGCCTGTGGCGTGATGCTCGTGCCCTGGGACAGGAGGTCTGTGAGCCAGCCCAAGCAGAGAAATGCACTGTGGCACCAAAGGGGCTGGGCTCTGGGGCAGTCTGACAGCTTTGGTGGGACTGCTGGGCTGACACTGGCGTGCTCACCGGGACCTCAGCTCACCGCTCTTGTGTCTTCCCTAAGCACAGCTGTCAGCGCTTTGCTGCCGAGGATTGCCTGTGCGCAGCCTGGTGGGAGCAGGAAATCCAGGCTGTTACCTATTTTTCTGCAGCGCAGAGTCTCTCCAAGGCTGGCCTGAGCCCTGGGCCCAGTCTGGAGGACCAGGTGGAAGGACTGAACATCACCATGCGCGGAGAGGTGGCGGCAGCAGGAGCCGAGGTGCTGAAGGGCCTTTTGGAAGGCCTTGGCTCAGCTGGCAGGGGCCGGGCACAGAGCGTCTCTCCTGGCTCCGAGGGGACTCCTGCCCGCAGCTTTCTGCCTTGTTCAGGGCCCTCAGCTTGGAGGGAGCTCCTGTTGTTTGCTGGGAGTGTGGGAAACTGCCATTCGAGTAGGAGCAGCTCCTGGTGCCCCAGAGCCCCCCGCCCGCTGTGTGCCCCCGCCCTGGGCGTGGCCCCCCCACGCATCACAAGGGGCACCAGTGGTGTCACGGACACCAGTGTCTCCCGGTGCGGCACTGTGCTGGCGCGGGCAGTGCTGGGGAGGGACGGGCTCTGGCAGGAGCACCCTGGCACGGGGACATCGCTGCCCAGCCTCGGAAGGCCTTGCGGGGCCTGGCTCTTCCCCTTGCTGAGCGCTTCCACAGCACAAGTGTCTGCCTGGCCGCAGCACGATGGGCCAGCTGCCCTCCTGCTTCTCCCGGTGCGCGCCTGCTCTGTCCCTCTGGCACCGGGCACGGCCTGTTCCCGGCAGAGCCGCGTGCCTCATGCCCGCAACCGTGTCCTTTGCAGGGGCGGCTCTGGTGGCAGCCAGCTGGGTGCCCTCGTGTCCCGACGGCATCCCGAGCTCCTCCGCTGCGACTGTGTGGAGGTGACCTGGCGTGGGAGGACGAGGAGGAGAGACCTCCTGCTTTTCCAAGACACCCTTGCTTTTGCCAAGCGCAGGTAAGAAGAGAGGATGGCAGTACTCTCTCTTCCCACCTCCTCCAATACCAGCCCTCAGGAGGCACCTCGCAAAGCCCTCTCAGGCTGGCCATTGCTCCAATGGCCCAGAAAGTCCCAGGGAGGATTTCTGGGGAGGGTCGGCCGCTCAGAAACCAGGGCTACAAGGGTCAGGGGGTGTCGCCGGCAAGGATGTTGCCGATTTGGGTGAGCTGTGAAGCTGGGCAGCCCTTCCCAGGGCTCTGTCAGCTGCAGTGGCTCTCCCAAGGAGGATTTCCATGGGTGCCCCCCCAGAAGGCAAGCTCACCATCAGCCCCTGCTCTTCCTGGCTGCAGATGTGGCACCAGGTTCTGGCTGCAGCACAGGGTGCGTCTGAGCGAGCTGTGGGTGCTGTGCCAGGAGGAGGTGGCGTGCGGGTGTGCACAAGAAGACGCAGCGTTGGGCCTGGACTGCAGCTGTACCCTCATCCTCGTCTGGCCCACCAGCCTCTGCGGGGTCACTTTCGGGTGAGTCGCGGTGACGTGTCACCCAGGCGTTGGGCTGTCTGGCCCAGTGCTCGCCTTCAGAGCCCAGCTGGCTCCTCAGGTCCACGGCACGGGGCGGGGAGGGAAAGCAGAGGCACCGCTTTGCTTGGGAAGCGTTTTGCAGCTCGGCTTCTTTTCCGAGCTGAGCCTCTCCCCTCTGGAAACAGCCCGTGCACAAGGTGTGCACTGTCAAAGGGGTGAGGCAAGGCGTGGGCTGAGGCAGGGGCTGTGTGCAGACAGGCGGTCCCGTTTGCTCCCAGGAAAACCCAGGTGCAGTTCTGGCAGAGCTGGGCTGTTGCTCCCCGCTCTGGAGAAGCCCCGTGTCTGCGACAGCGCTCCTCAGCCCAGGGGCATCCCAAAGGCTGCAGAGTTGCAGCATCAAAAAGGGACTCCTGGAGAGACGAGGCTGCGTCATGAGCAGACCCTCCTTGGCTTTGACTTTGTTCTCCGGAGGGAAAACTGCACAACACCTATCTGGTGGCAGTGGGGTGTGACACTGGTTCTCCTGTCTCCTGCAGCTCGCAAGAGGTGAAAGAACTCTGGCTGGACGCCATCCTCAGGTAAGCCCTGCTGGAGTAGCAAACCTCTGGTGCCACCGTGGCCGTTGGTGGGATGCTCCAGCTGCAGCTGCAAGGCAGCTCGAGGGTTGGGGCAGAGGTACCCGCACTGCTGGGGCAGCTGCGGGGCAGCACTGCCCGAGCTGCTCAGCCTTGCCTTGGGAAAGTAACGGCAAGTCAAGATCCAGCTGTCTCCACTTGCCCCTTTTCTGCCTGGACTTCTTCTTTGGCTGTTTGGATGCAAATGGTGCTGGACGGGCTGGCAGGGGAGAGGGCAAAGCCAGGCTCAGTGACACAGAGCTCTCCCTTTGTCCATTCCCCGTGCACAGGCAAAGCAGCACAGCCCAGGGAACACGAGTGACCACACTGCCCTCGCTTAATCTCCTTGTGACGGTCTTGGGCCTCTGCAGATCTGTAAGTGTCTAAGTTGTTCCAGCTGGCTGACGGGAGTGACGCTGCTTTCTAGCACAGACCATCAGAGGAGCGTCTCCCACTTGGCCTTTGTTCTCTTGTCTAGCCGGTGACGATGACTGCCCAGATCATCGAGACTCTGGTTCAGTGCCAGGCAAAAGTAAGCAGTGGCTACCTTTCTCCACCTTGGCATTGTGTATGGGTGGGAGAGGCCTCAGGAGAGGAAGGGCAGCTTTTCTGGGATGGGAAGCCATCAAGACAGAGGCCTCTTTCTCCTTGGCAGGGTTTGGGCAGAAATCTCCAGTGCAGGGGCGGAGAGCACAGACGGGCAGCCCGTGTCCCCTGTGCTCCACGCCAGTGACTGGTGCCCGGCTGTGGCTTCTCTGGACCACACAGCAGCCGAGAAGGGTGCTGGGGCAGTGCCCTGTGGGCAGGTCCTGAGGAGCTGGGTGCAGCCCCAGCCTTGGGAGCAAACACCCCCCTTGGGGCACAGAGACCATGACTGCCCCCTCCTCAGGCTCGTGGCCCTGAACTGCAAGTCTGTGGGGCCAAAGGCCATCGTCTTCATTTCCCTGTGGGGAGAAGGATTACCACTTCCACACGGAAAGTAATCTGGGATGGATTCTTTTTCTTGCTGCCTGCCCAGAGTATCCCACATTGCTGTCCTCAGGCTCAAAGGCACCGAGAAGAAGACTGCAGTAGAGCCCTGGCCAAGCAGCAAGGGAGCCCAAGCAGCAAGAGAACCCAGAAGCAGCTGGAGCCCAAAGCGCCTGAGCCTGAGGACAGCAGAGAGCACGCTGATGTGCAGACAGGTAGAATGCTGTAAAGCTTTGAATTTCAGGTCCAACTCAAAGCACGTGGGTCCAGATGAACCTGGAAAAGGCGATTCATGGGGCATTTGGGAGCGTCCCCTTGGGTTGCGGTTCTCTAACCGTTGCCCTTGTAACATCCTGGAATTCACCGCTTCGAACCTTAACACACGGGGCGAATTAGGGTGACCTTTCCCAGAGGTTAGATGACCTTTCTTCAGTTTCAGTGCACCTCCTGGCACACAGGCCAGGGCTTCTTGCTTTGCTCTTTCCAGATGCTCCTCAGACGTGGCCTGAGGTTTGTGAACAGTGCCACTGCCGGCGCCCTGCCAAGCCTGCTGCACTGCTGCCCGGCGGCCCCCAGGCTTTTCTCCATTGGCACTGGGTTTCTCCCAGAACGAGGTGGTCTGCGCTGAAAGTTTTGGTCTCTTACGGCCTGACTGATGCACGTTGTCTCGTGGCCTCTGTAGCGCATCTTTTCTGAGCAAGGTCTCTCAGCTCTCCCGTAGGAGACAGGTCTGGTTCAGACCAAGTGCCCACATTTCAGGTGTGCTCTCACCTCCAGGGCTCTTCTGGCCGAGGTAGGAAGAGAACGTGCATGTTCTTCATGGTGAGAGCCGGCGCTCTGGACTGAGATGACCGACCTCTGCTGAGTGACAAGTGCTGCCGGGACCCTTCCCGAGGGGGGCAGCAGATGGCATCAGAGGGTCGCTCCTCACTTGGGGTGCAGGGTTTTGCCAGTTTCCTTCAGAGGAATCATTTTGCAGCACATTCTTGTCATGTAATTTGGCCTGTGGAATCAACAGGCAGAGTCGTGGCTGTTAAAGCTCATCTGACCCCAACACGTGTCATTCCTTATGCCTTTGCTTTCCAGAGCTGTGTTCAGATGAGCCTGGGGACCACGGAATAGAGGCGGACGTGGTAGGTCAGGCAGACGTGCCCCTTGAGCGACCACCCTCATTGCTCTGCAGCCTGGCAGAGGGCCGAGGAGCCATGGCCAGGACAGCCGACAAAGGAGAGGTATGAGGCAAAGCTGGGCTCACAAACCCTGTAGCAAAACAGCCCCTATCTGCAGTCAGTTTCTGTGGCAGAACCGAGGCAGCAGACTGCTTTCTTGGAAGCAGTCTTGCTCTGGTGACTTTGCCTCCTTAGATGGCTCATCAAGAAGGCAAGCCTGAGAGCAATTTTTTTCTGTAGCTCGTACAGTTGTAAGTCAAGCACTTATCTTAGCTGTGTTCCTGATGATAATGCCCTAAACGAATACTCGCAAGGCTCTGAAATTCCAAAATGTATCCTTCTACCTTAAAAGCTAAGTAGTAGCGCACCTGCACCCGTGATTTCCAAGCTCTCAATATGAGTAATTCCCAATCAGGAGTAAGCAGAAAAGGAAAGCCTTTATTATTCATTCTTACTCAACCTTACACATGTGTTTTGTCAGTCTTGCCTTCTAAGGATATAGTCAGATTTCCCGTTTGTTATAACAAACAGGGTAGAAAAACACCCACGAATGCTGGAAAGTGCAGAAAATCCTGGACCACCTTCCACTTGCCCCACGGCTAACTGCCATCTCTGTTTGCCACGCCAGTAAAGCCACGTGTCTGGAGATCAGGGCACACTAAAGCAGCAGGAAAGGCTTAGTCTGGCCACTCTCCAGACGCTTGCCAGGCTTACCAAAAATAAAACCAGTACATCAAGGAAGAAGTTCCCGTCTAGCCCACAGGGGTTCTCCTACTGCACAGGTGCCATGCGAGCCTGCTTTCCAGCACTTTCTCCTGTGAACGCTTTTTGCAGAAATAGAGGCTGGAGGGACCAGGTGCTGCATATACTGATGTCCTCAGTCATTATGTTGTTTGCCGAGTCGTTCCTCCAGATCAGAGAAGTGACAGCTAAAGCCTGCATGTTTCACAGGCGGCGTTGTCTCGGCAGGAACCTCGCGAACGCCAGCAGACAGAACCGCTGCAGGCACGGGAGGAGACCTCCGAGAAGTCGGCAGCTCAGGGCGTTTGCTCAGCAGGTCTTTGCTGAGCCCGACCTGGTCTTGAACAACCTTTGTGAGAGCAACCGTTCTAATGACCCCATTGAGAGAGGTTTGTATTATTTTTTTTTTCTCTTTTTCACATGTGAATGTAGCAATGTAACAGGCAGAATAGCCGTAAAACGGACTTGCCAGTCCTGTTCTGTAGTGTTATGTGTGACAAGGAGAAAGTGTTGGTTGCAGATCTTGGGTAGGGTCTTCTGATGGAAGTGGGAGCTGTGGGGAACTCAGGCCTGTTTGGATTCCAGCACGTAGCAGGGAGTAATGAAGACAGGCAGGCATCCCACCTCCTGCAGAGGGCCATGAGAAGCTGGGAGGATGGGAACCCCGTCTCCTCGTCCGGTCCTTACTGCTGGATGCTGTGCGTGTCCCAGGTGGTGTGATGGGGAGGGGATGTGCAGCCTCCTCCCAGTTCAAAGCTCAATGTGGCCCTGCAGATCCCAGCTGGATCCTTTCCCCAGTAAAGCAGGCAGCAGAAGGGAGCTTTCCTCGGGCTGCTCCTGTGTGGACCCTGATATCTCTGGTGCGGTGTGAAACACCCACCCTGGTCTTAGAGAGGAGCCAGGCACCGAGCTGTCAGGGTGCTTTTCAAGCCGACCTGCTTCTCGGCATGCCCAGGCACATCCTCAGCTTCTTCCACTGACTTTAGACCTCATGGTCAGTGGAGAGAATGAGACAGGGGCAGAGGGAGAATACAAAAACAATCTCGCAGGAACAACCTCATATTAAATAGAATAGGAGCAGCATTAATGCTTCCTGGAAACACACTGCTTATGCTGTTAAAGATGGGAAGTAGAGACGTAGCTGTGAGTAAAAGGTTTCTAGGATAAATTAATCTCAGTCTCTTAAACATGCGGGTCCTTCCAACAGTGAGCATTACAACTGAATTCTCTCCACTTTTCCAGCTGCTTCTAATGGCTTTACTGGGTGTTTTTACACAGTCAGGCCCTCTCTCTCCCCCCGGGCTCTCTAAATAAAGCCATCTACAGAGACAGTGTTCCAGTTATTCCTCTAGTTGCTGCAGCAGAGTGGTGACCATACATGTTCATATTTTGGTCTCTTTCCCACGTGACAGGGTGTTTTTGAAGGCAAGGAAGCTCAGCAAATTTAGGTGCTTTACGTTTTGAGCACAAGCTGTCTCTGTCAGCACTGTTTTACTCACAGCTGTGTTTCACTGTGTGACTATATGCAAAACCCAGCATCAGGACTGATAGATGTATGTATATACATAACAAGGTCATGTTTATGCAGTAAGAAGAGAGGCAAGTTAAGTTCCATGGTATCTAGACTTTGGCAGCTATGAAATAGTGCTGAAGTTGCAAATACAAACGAGTTACACAAAAAGACTAAACTTTCATAAGCTCATCTACATCCTGAGTTGTAGGAATCCTGTTCTTGTGGTCAGCTGGCAGTGTTCCTGTCACAGATATTCCTTGACCTTTTTCCTTTCTCCCATACTGTAATCTTACCATTTAGATAGCCAATGGACAATAAAATGCACACAAGCAGGTTTGAGCTTTATTCTTATAGGAGGAAAAATCTTCAACGCTCTAGTACAAGCAAAATGTTAATAGCAAGGCCAGGAGACCATCCAAAAAGGTATCCGACCACCTGTAATGGCCAGAAATAGCAGACTGGGATGCCATACACCAGGCATCCATGTGGGGCTATTCTGTGGCCCTGTGTAAGGAATGTATATGCTGTCTCAACACACATGTATACATGCATGACGTGGTGTTTCAGTGCTTGCATCCTGTCCCAGTAGAGCAAATATACCTAATCTGCTCTACCCGTCAGCGCTCTGAATGCAGTGGGATATATGGTCACTGTACTGTGTCATTATCCTTGCACAGATCCGTGCAAAGAGCAGAGTTAAACGCGGGCCACTTCCACACCCAAACGTGGGTGCGATGGCTGCACCGCACGGGTGGGACAAAAGAATGTGTTTCTTGAGAAATGCTAACCTCTTTCATGGTTAACGCTGCTTCGGTGGGCTCTTCTGGGGCTTAAACGTGTGAGCTTTTGCAATCACGTTGTCCCAGCGACAAAACCAGTCAACAGGCATCCCTAGGGAGCTGTCAGCCGGGAGAGCGGCGTTAGGAGAGGTGAGAGGCCGTGTTCGGTCCTGCCCGCACTGCTGCTAGGCACGGAGTTTCACCGCTTTGGTAGGGTGTTTCTAAGACAGAAGTCCCAATTACCCAGGAGAATCTGTTGCAATTAATATTTTATGGATAGATGCCATGATGTTTTTCTTAGGGATGTTTACCAAATGGGAGAAAATATTTTTCAAGCTCTCCTAGTACCAGTGCTGTTGAGCTCTGCTCTACGCAGAGCTGGCTTGAGCATAAGTAGCACACTTGGAACCGATACTGGCAGTGACCCCTTTAATTTTTAAAATGTTCTTGAAGAGCCTGTAAATAGCCACGTGCCTAATTTTAAGCAAAAGTAGTCTCCTGTGCTCAGAGTTAAGCTTGTGTGTAGCTGTTTTCAGAATTGGGGCCAGACAGGTTAATTTATGCTTTGCAGACACATCGCTGGGTCTCAGATGCAGTTCACGCTCTCAGAAAGCTCAGCCTTTGGGGTGGTTCCATTTTCAGGCTCTGCTCACTCTTACCAGCCGTGCCTAGCTCGGCAGCCCTTCCCAGCACTACGCTGCAAGCCAGGCGGCTCAGGGAGAGGCTATTATTAAGGCTCGTTTCCTCAAAAAGCTTTTGATAGCGACATCTGGTTATGATGTGTTCTACTTAACCAGAGACGACTCTTGGCTAGGGCTCCTCTTCTCTGTGCCACAGCCAGGACGTGGCTTTGGAAAGCTGCTGGCATCTTTAAAGGGGTGGAATGATATGGGGGCCTGAACACCAGAGGTATGAAATCTGTATGATGTGTTTACCCATTCGGGTCTTGCTTGGAAAATTAGATTTGGGAGGACCGTGATACCAAGAGAGCATTTAGTATCTTAGTCTCTTAGATGGGAGCATTTTGTTTATCAGGAAAAGACTGTGGAAGCTTCAGACATTGTGTCCCACGGTCATTTTGGTTCCCCAAGGAGGAGGGTCACTGACAGCTGCATCTGTAGGAATTATATAAATACTCTGTGACACGAAGAGGCTTTGCTGCTTTCCCTCCCTTCCCTTGCAGACTTGCAGGTGGCTCTGATTTGGTTCCAGCTGTGGCTACTTGGGTCTGATCATCAGGGGTGTTGTACTGGCATGGAGTTGATTAGCGGTGGCGAAACTGGGCCCCTGGGATTACCCTTTGCACGAGCTGGGCTGTGCATTTCAGCACTCAGCTCGGGCCGAGGAATATCTGGGCTGGGCTGAACGAGAGGCACAGAGAAACAGGGGCTGATCCCAACGCTGGCACATGGGGAGGCTGGGAAAGTGTTGGGTTAAATCCGAACAGGGCTGATCCTCAGACCGCTTGCTAAGAGCTGCCAGAAGGTGAGGGTGGTTGGTGGATGTCTCACCCTCTTTAAGGCTGTGAAGACACGGGTCCCGGCTATGGAGGGGTGCAAGACATCCCCACCGAGTCCTAACATGGCTTCTGTAGCATCAGGGGTTCGTGTCCAGATGTTTCTCCTGCTCCTCTGGAAGTGCCAGTTCTGAAGCCATGTTGAAAATCCAGTGCTTGCCCTTAGGGATGGTTGAAAATTCATGCAAGTTCTAAAGTTCACCCAGCACGCACAAAGGGAGAATGCTTGTGATTTGCTGTTATTTGGAAAACAGTCTTTGTGTTCTACTTTCCATCATGTTTCCAATCTTCCCTTTTCCTTTCCAGGGAGTGAAGCCAATTTCATCTCTCCAAGCAGCACAGGCACTATTTCAGCGCATGAAGTCCCCATGTCTGCTGCTGGAAGCAAAAGATCTTTCTCTCTCGAGTAAGCACAGCAGTTTTTTCCGGGATAGTGCAAGTGTTGCTAGTGCAGAGGTAGACGAGTAGGTCTGGTCTTGCAGCTAATACATACAGCATCAGTATTGTGAGTGTTAAAACAGTTTGGGTAACACTATGCTCTCAGGCAACCCTAACACAGATGAGAACTGTGATACGAGAAAGAAACAAAAAAAGAGCTGTATTTGGGGGAAAAAAAAAAAAAAAAAAAAAAAAGAAGGTTTTTTAGTTCTAAAAAGTTTTTGTTGTAAAAGTATTTTAAAGTTAAATGTCTCATTTGATGGCATGGCACTGAAACCAAGGACAGCAGATAGTAAACTCTGCACGACAGCCACAAACCAGCTGTTTCCTCAAGGATGTTGATTTTCCAGAGGAGCCTCTTGTGAGGACACTGGGGAGCCCCAAACGAGTCAAGCTTTGTATCGGTCTATGGGAAGTCTCTTTTTGGCAGGACTGAAGACCTCTAGGAGTGATGTTCTGTGACGGTTTGGGTTTCTTCCCTTTCCAGGCGATCAGGGAGATACATTTCTTGTGGTGACAACCACAGCATTGAGCCACAAAACCGAGAGCAGTACTTGAGTCATCTGCAGCAGAAAGAAGTTACAGTACAGCATTTGAAAACAAAGCTGAAGGAGTCTGAGAGCAAACTTCAGGAAAGGTATATTTCACTTCAGAAACCAGAGTTAGAACGATTTACTCAGGAGCGTTTTGGGGTGGGAATCCAGGACCTTTTTCCTCATTTTCTGACCATGTAAAGATTTCATGAAGAAATTTGAAATATGATCAGACTGATTAGTTGTTTCAGGTTTCATCGTGATGCTCAGTGCATACGTACCATGCGGCTTAGTTAATACAGCTGTTTGTCTCTTTTCCCTTTCTTTGAACTTGCCCAATAGCATATTTTTAAAGAGTAGTTTTTTACCAGGCTGATTTAGCACTGCGACCTTTTCTACATCAAGCGGTTTTTACCTGCAACCATGTATTTGCTCCATCTCCTGTTCCACCTCGCTCAGAGACAGATGGCTACCAATGTCCCCCTTCTCCCCTAGGGAAAGAAAAGCTCTTACACACACCAGCGTGCCCACTGGTGGTTTTGCCCCTTGGGGACTGAATGGTTCACAACAGCCCTTTGTATGGACGCGAAGCAAAGCAGTGACACACAACCCAGGCGGGCACAGAGCGGGCTCTGCACGGAGCCCCAGGGCCAGAGGCCCAGGGAGCTCTTGGTCCCGCTCGCATCGCCCGACCTCCGCATCTGCGCGGGCTGGATCTCACGTGGGGGCCCCCTCTCCCCACTCCTCGCAGGCCAAGGCAGCAGCCCCTGGCCCCACGCGGGGCTGGGTGGGTGCAAAGCAAGGCGGGGGCTGCAGCCCCGAGCCGTCCTGTGCCCGAGGCCCGTGTTGGCTCTGGCTGCAGGTGCCGAGCTGCTGGCAGGCACGGGGGACGCATCCGGGCAGCCGCTTCCCATCGCCTCCAGGGCGAGGCAGGAGGCCGGACGGCAAGCGCTGCACTCTTTCACTGACCGTCCACAGCACTGCCACTGCATTTTGCTTTTGCTGCAGGGAAACAGAAATAGAAGAGCTCAAGGCTCAGCTGGCACGGATGAAGGGAGACTGGGTTGAGGAAGAGTGTAAGCATATGGAGCTGGAGCTGCACTTCTGGGAATCGAGAAGGGAAAGTCACGAACTCCAGCAGGCTGTTGAAAGCATGAGAAACAGCTTGGCTGAGAAAGGCAAAATAATTCAGAAATACTTCATAGCCATAAGCATTGCAAACAAGAAACTGGAAGCTTTGCTGCAGGGCCTGGGGATGGCTCAGAAGAGCTCTGTGAGAGATGAGCAGTGCCTGGAGTCCACGTAGGACTCAGAGGGGAAGCCGTTAGCGTTGTGTGCCACGATGCCAGGCAGCCTCACCACGGAGGACCAAGCTCTGGAGGAGGTGGCAGACAGTGGGCTGCTTCTTAATGAGGACACCGCTAACGGGACTGACTCATTTGAAGAGCATTTGACCGCCACAACTTCTGGGTCGAGCGATCCAGCTCCCTCCAGTTCTGCTGTGTATCAAGAGATGCTTGAAAATGTTCTGGATGAAAAAACAACTTCTTCTCAGGAGGAGGAGAAAATCAGCAAGGTGATGGTGGAACAGGCCATCCCAACTGACCTGGTGCCATGGAGCCTAGATGCGGAGTAGCTCATTCAGAACATCTTCAGAGCTCGAGATGCCTGCCCTCTAATCCCACCTGCTTCACTGAAGGAATTGGGTGAAATTTCTCTTGGAAGCCTCCGTGATTCTGCTACCCTAGTGGACTTAACTCCAAGTGATCCAAACTCTGCCGTCCTCTTGTCTCCTATGGAGTCTCCATGCAGGAAGGTGGAGCATAAAGTTAATAAAAACCGTTATGTGAAAGAACTTGATTTTGCAGAACCTCATCATGCTGAAGCCTTTGGCTATGTCAATACCCTCTCTCAGACAGCTTGAGTATTTCACTAGTCTTGTGCATATACAGGGACTGTAACCGAAAATGTACATTGCTGGGAGTCTTGAAACATCTTACAACAATAAGTCCAGGCGTGGATATGCTCTGAATATTAAGACCTGCCTCATCCTTGTGACGCCCAGGTTCTTAATTACTTGTGCTGGCCACAAAGATCCAGGACGGTTCCTTAAGCATTGTATTAAGGGAGGGAAGGGAAACCTAACAGACAAGTTGTCTCTGTCTCTCTCTCTTTCTCTCTTCTCCTTTCTTTAACAAATAGTAACTAGCTCCAAGTAAGCATGGGACTTGTTTACCTAGTTAAGAAGTTGCCATTGAGTATTTGTATCTCACCACTTGCCATGTCTTTTGTATTAATAAATTGTTAAACGGGTTGGCTGGTGGTGTTTCACCTCAATTCAGTATGAGGGTATCTCAAACTTGGTCGTAGGTCCCAAGGGGAGGGAGGCTGTTTTGAACAGCTTCTTTTGGGCTGCAGCATTTCTAAATTGTCGTCACGGACAGGATGCCCTTGTGATACTGATCCAACCAGAAGGGATCAGGGCCCTTAGCATGGCCCCTTCTTTAAGGAAGTGCCTGACAGGAGAGAGGACAGTGGATCTTCTTGGAAAGATCCACACTGGGTCCGTAACCACACACGTGGCTGAATACTTTACAGTAACCCTTTTGTATTGTGTAACAGTTGTTATCGGGATCGATTTGGGCATCCAACAATAGCAGAGAAGCCCCTTCTTGAGAAATTGAAGGGCTATAAATCCCTGTCCTCTCCTCTTGGCATGCCTTGGGCCCAAAAGAATTGGCAAGCATTGGTGGACAGGATCACGCTTTTGGCAAAGGAGTGAAAACTGGGGTTGGGGAAAGGAAAAGCAACCATCTGTGCTGTTCTAGGGGCTGCGTTAATTGCGGCTGGAAAGGAAAAGCAAGCAGAGAAAGAGACAATTGAGTGCTTGCAAGAGCAGATAAGAAACTTGAAAAGTCATCTCACTGCTGAACATAACACTCCTCAGAGGCTTCATGCAATTTTGCCAAATTCACTAGACTGAGAGAAAATCTTCCAGTATGAATTGCAAGAAAACAGGCAGGTGTTTGATGAGAGGATAGATCCGGGCTCCGATCAGGATAGCGAACTGGGATTTTCGGGTTTGGCCAAAATACAGGAAAAATACTCTCAGGGCCCCTGACAAACTGAAACAGAGTAGGACTGGAGAGTCTCCCTCACCAGGAAAGATCATATTCTGTCGAGCCAAGATGAAGCTAGAGGATACTGGGGACTGTAGGGCAGGGTTTGGCTTCTCTCATCAAAACCCCCAGCACTGCACAATTGATAGAAGGAGATGTGTTGGAGAATGGCTCAGAGACAAGGGTCCTGAGCCCACCGAGCAATTGTATGATCAGAGCCTGCTCTAGCTGCTGATGCTGGGCCTCACTAGGGTTTGCCTGCAGCTGCTCGCAGCTGCTGATACATGAGGAATGTCAAGGACGCTTCGGCCTTGTGTACTGTGGTGTGTCGAAAACAGGTTAAGGGGAATCCAAAATAGTGGTCTGAGAAACCTAGTGTTACGGTAACAGTGGTCTGAGAAACATTGTGTTATGGTACTGTTGTGTATCAAAAACAAGTCAAGAGGAATTAGAAATAGTGGCCTGAGAAACTTAGTGTTATGAGAAGCTTGTGCTGTAAGCTAACCGCAAGTAGGTGGACCGTGCGAATACGACCTTTAGAGCTTAAGCCAATCAGCTAGTGACTAGTAGGCATAATAATTAGCATTGTCTGTATAAATATATACACCTGGAAAATAAAGTTGAATTGATGCTCTATCTTTCACACTGAACCTGTCTTGGCGTGTCGTTCGTCCGCGGCTCCGCAAGATGGCGCCCGAACAGGAACCTGCATAGAAGAATAACACGGACGGAGCGGCGGACCCGGAGAAACAGCAACGACCGAGGAATTCGAGAACGGACCCGGAGAAACACCAAATACAGCAGCGTTCAGGGTCCACGAGCTGAGACGAAGAGGCACCGGCCCCGGCAGCCAAGGGAGAGTACGCGGAGAGAAGCCGGCTGGAGCGGCCCCAGAGAGCGGAGGCGGAGCGGCCCCGAGACCAGAAGTGAGTGGCCCCGCGAACGGAAGCAGAAAGGCGCCGGAGCTGACGTGGTAAGGAGCCGACTGCGGCAGCCCCGGGGGCGGACGCGAAGGGACACTACAGGCGAACGCTGAGCGGCCCCGGGGGCGGACGCGAGGGGGCGCTGGAGGCGAGCGCAGGGTGGCCCCGGCAGTGGAAGCGGGGGGGGCGCCGGAACTGACGCAGAGGAGTGACGGAAGCTGACGCGGAAAGGCGCTGCATACAGCGGCGGCAGAAACAAACGCGGGGAAACATCAGAGACAGCAGCGCCTAGCCGAATCAAGAACGATCGGACAGTGGGCCTCCGACAGGTCGTTCCGAGGAGCTGAACCGAGATAGAGGGTCTCTCTCTGCAAGGGCTGCTGGCAAGAGCTGCACCTGGTGCCTTAGTCACGGAGCATCAGCAACATATCAGAGGGGGTAATTTTTTAGTGCCTTAAACAGGGAGCACAGGCCGGCGGGAGTATTTTTTAGTGCCTTAAGCAGGGAGCACAGGCCGGCGGGAGTATTTTTAGTGCCTTAAACAGGGAGCACAGGCCGGCGGGAGTATTTTTAGTGCCTTAAACAGGGAGCACAGGCCGGCGGGAGTATTTTTTTTGCCTTAAGCAGGGAGCACAGGACCGGAGGTGCCTTAACCAAGGAGCACCAGGTTGATGAGATGGAACAGGAGGTAGCCCTGGATTTATTACAGCGCTTTTTAGAAAAGCGGGGAGTGGATTGTATAAAATCACTCGTGGGTTTAGTAACATTAGGACGGGTCAAAGAATGTTTTCAAGATCCTAATTCTCTTTTTGATGTTGAGGAGTGGAGACGATTAGGTGGTATTTTATGGGATATGGTAATTGACGAGGATAAAGCTGCAAGGAAAATGATGAAACCGTGGCGGGACGTGGTGAATAATATTAAGCGGTATCAGCTTGAAAAGAACCTTGCAGCTGTGGCAACCACAAAGTTGGGGGGGAAAGTTACACCGTTACCCCAGAAAGTGATGCATCAGGACCTATGCTTTTTGACAGTGATCGTATTCCTGTACCATCAACAGCAGTGCCGGTTTCAGTTAACACAAGTAGGGGCAGTCCGGAGGCCAGCCCCCCCCAGTGCCCTTACAGTCATGCCCCCCCACACCCCCCCACCTCAGAGGCGAAGGGGCAGAGGGACGATGGCCCCTCGCTAATATTTAGCCAACAGGAGTGGCACGAAGTAGGTGATTTATTGTGGGACGAGACCATCACTGGAGGCAATAAAGGCAGTGAAGCACGACAGCAAGGGCTGGTCTGGCGAACGCCCGTAAAAGCCCTGAGGGAGATGCCAGCAGAACAGAAAGTAGCTGCTGCTGCCATGGCGGCTGTCGGCGCTGTACCATCCCCGCCGGTCCCTGCCGAAACCAACCGCCCGTCCCGATCAGCCACCTTCTTCGGGGTTAATCAGCAGCTCCGCTCTATTAAGGGCACGGCACCAAGTGTTCCTGTTTGCTCCACCGCGCAAGAAGCGGCAGAGAAATCAGGCGGCGCGGGGGGACAGGGGGGAGCGGCTGCCGCCCGAACCTCTGCCCCCCCCCCCCCCCTTCGGATGGTTCCGCCCCTGACGGCGCGTCAGCGTCTGAGTCGGAGAGAAAAACGGCGGCTGTGTCCGAATTAAAGCACCAGGGTCACACACCGGTAAGGGACAGGGACAGAGTCCGAGAGCTTGACAGAAAATTACAGAAGTTGAGCTACAGAGCAGAACTCTGCATTTACAATGACAAGAAGAGGAAGCGCTGCCGGCAGCCCCCCCACACCCACTCCCGTCACCCTCACCAGAACCAGCTCCGCTTTTAGCTCAGCCCCGATGGAGTGGGGGGATTCGGGGTGCCTTGTTAGAAGGGGACTGGCATGCTGCTGGGGCGTTGGCCTGCCCGCTAGTGACAACGGATGGGGGACACCCGGGAACACAACCCCACAAGATTCTCCTCGGGGGGTCTGGAGACTCCTTACGAACTTTAGAACTCCGAACTGTCATCTGGGTGTTTCAACATCAACACTGGTATCAAGAACTTGTTCGTGTAGTATCAGATTCATTGTATGTTGTGGGTTCAGTGCAATGTTTAGAACATAGCATGGTGAAACCTGTATTACATTCTGTATTGCATACTCTGTTGTTACAATTGCTGACACTTTTAAAACTGTAAGGATGGTTTTCTTGCTACATAAGACTGCATAAGATTGGAACATGGACTGACAGACTGGTTAAGAGACTCTGGAATTTGAAAAATGGACTGATGATGGTTACAAATCTACAAAACTTGGAAGTTACTAAGTGGCTGAAAGCTTTGTTGATGCACAGACTGGCAATGCTGATTGTCATTATGATTGTCATGATGGTATTGGGGTCTGTGTGGAAATGCTTTATGAATGATATGATTCAAACGTTAAAAGGAGTCTGGATTGTCCAAAAAAGAAAAAGGGGGAAAACCTGGTAGGAATTTTTTTTGCGGGGGGATCAGGGTTATGCACTGATCCTACAGGGTTTGGACAATCCAGGCTGGGTCTCTGAGCAGAAAACTGCCCCGTGGTAATCCTGCCCTTGAGGTCACCTGGAAGGGCAAGAAGGAGGAAGTCAATCTAGTGCTTCCTCCCTGTTTGAATGCCTGGATACACTAACCACAAAGTAGATTTAGTTTGTTCACGCGTGCTAACGATGCAGACCTATCACAGCACTTCTGGGTGCATGATAAGTGCCTTTAGCCAACAGATTGTAAGCCTGCATGCTTAAGTTGTGCCTTGTCATGTATTAAGAAAATCTTTGAACGAACGTTAGGGCAGGTTCTGCTCCTACAAAAAGAAAAAGGGGGAATTGTTGGAGAATGGCTCAAAGACAAGGGTCCT